TCCTCCCAGTTGAAAAGGTTGGTCATATCCCTCAATTGTGGCAAATGTATACTTTGAATAAGCAAAACATATGCTATGGGGATCCGATTTGAACAAGATGTTCGGAGATTGCAGCCTTGCCTTGGACAAAAATCTGTGTCGAATTTCGTGAAGATATCTTGTCAAAAAAAAAGTTTTTCATAAAAGAACTTGTTTTTGATCGGTCAGTTTAATGACAGCTATGTGTTATAGTAATAAGCTATAGTGGTCCAATTGCGACAAATGAACAGCTTTTTGGGAAAAACTAGTTCACGTATATACCGACGGGCATAGCTTAATCGACTCAGCTCGTCACGCTGATTACTTACACTATTTAGGGTCTCCGACGTTCGCTTTTGGGTGTTATAACGTGTTCAAGGTATAATTAATGGCAGGAATCATAAAATAATGATTTTTAAAGCCGAAATGGCACACTCAGAGGACATTTACTTTACTGCTTTGTTATTTTGTAGCTATAGAAATTTTCATATAAAAAATGTTGCTCCAAATAATAAACGGTTAAGCTGGACTAGCGCTATAAAAGCTTTATAAAAAAAAAACCGCCAAATATACCGCACCTGTTCTCTGCGTGTCAACATGGGGTGTACGAATTTCCTGTACAATGTTGAGCTACCCTTTGTAGCGGGCGACAAAAGCCATAAAACAATGATCACTTTCACTTCATAGTAAAATGGAAACCATGAGAGAAAGATATCCGTAAATGTTTCGATGCATGTAAAGAAAGCGTAAACAATCCAATACATCATCCATTTCACCTAAAATAAGAAATAAAGTTGAAATCAGCTATTTATAGCGTCTTTTGTTTTTTAAAAAAACATTTTCATTACTCACATATTCTTTCACATTTTTGGTGCGTACAGCTTTGTAAGAAGCATATGCTGGATATAGAGTACCGAAGGATAATCTGAAAGCAGGAAATATAATATTTTGTGCCCATAAACGTGGCGATATAAATGTGGCTATCAAAACTAAAATACAAGCCGTTGTAAATGAAACATGTGGCAATGGCCAACTCTGCACTACTTCCAAAAAGCGTCCGAACAAAGTCAAATTATGCACAACCTGCTCGGTATTTATAATATTTGCATTAACTGCTGCTGATTGTGTGCTGCTCTTTTGTTTAAAATAGAATGCGCGACGTACATTGTCCGGTATTGGTGGCTCATCGTCGACATGCCAAGTATTCGGATATAATAATGTATTAGAGGCGGTAGGGGAAGCTTGCTCAACATTATCAAGTGAATGCCCAATAAATGCTGCTGTTCGATTACTATTATAATAAATAAACGATTCAGGTGGTGCATTTAATGAATAGCGACGATAGTAGCCACTGTCATCCGTTGCATACAGGGGTGGTGGATACGCTTGTGCTGTATTGGCGTTCCAACGTCCATAAAATGGTGCATTGTCTGGCTGTTGGCTATATTGTAAATGTTGCGAACGCTTTTGTAAGAATTTTTGCTGCTGGTATGGCACCTCCCGCGGCGATGGCCACTCTCCTCCAGCATGATTCTTCCAATCGCTGCTATGCATTTCAGTACACAGAATAACAGCTCATTGACCGCTTTTAATGCGGTCACTTGTTGCTATTGTGGCAAACATTCAGATTTCCGTTTTTTATTTTTCTTAAATTGTGTATTTTGTAAAATCCAGTGAAATTTTTGAAAACCATGTACTATAAAAATGCCAATTATTTGCCTACTGAACAGGCACTGAATAGAGTTGAACTGTGGCACAAAATATATAATATTATGCTCAATAGCAATTTGCACAATACAATGAAATTTCTGAATGAGTTTTGTAGTAGCAGCAGACGCTCATATTTAAAAATAGCATGAACATTTCGAGTAACATTTCGAAATGGTTTTCGAAACATACATTCGGCCTGTGTCGTACACTAAAAATATGCTCAACGAGAGTGAAAAGCGGACAACAGTTGCACTAGAAAAACATTAGCAGCTGAGTTTGGCATGTTGAAATGAAGGTATGCGTACACGCACACGGTACACAGTACACAGCACACATAGGTGGTAAAGTTGCAAAGGATCTATGAACATTTACAAAATGTATACTTTTCTAAATACAATTTTTTGTTTTTGATAACAAATCTATAAACATTTACATAAAGTTGTAAATATTTATTTAGCAGCGTTTCGTATTTCTTTATAGCAGTGACCGAAGCATTTTAATTCGTTGTTTGATTTCTTGTGCTCTGCTCATACTAAAATGCCGTGTATGACTGCTGAAAAGACGAAATGGCACACAGCTGTATTTATTAATGGACACATTTATTGTACATACGATCGTGTGCGCTTATAAACTCCACACACAATTTTCATATGTATATTTACTTGCAAATTGTTATGTGTGCTCGGAGTACTTGAACGACGCCTATTCATTCACGCATGCGATAGCGCAAATGAAGCGAACTACGCGCACTTTTTTTGGTGAACGAAATTGCTGCAGTTTAGTTACCTGAAAAGTGGTATTTCTAAATATGTTAAGGTTTAAAGGAAAACGAGTAATGACGTGTCGGCGACAATTACTTTAACAAAAGCTAATAAAAATGTTACTAACAAGGCCCACTTATAACTGTTTGGCAGTTTCGTCTGCTTTATTTCTTTCTATTTTGTTTTTTGCAAGCAGCAACAACCACAGTGAGCGTCGTCAAAGCAATCAATGCATACGCCGCTTATGCGTCTAATGACTCAAAAAACCCGGAAGTAGTGCCAGAATGCTTATAACGTTTTCAATTTCTTAAGTAGGCAATTGTAATTTAGCTTTATAATTACTAAATTTTTTTTTTGTATATTTTAAAAGTTTGCATTATAAAAAGTGTGTGCTCGAATTGGCGCAGTGTGCTAGTTACTTACATTATGAATCGCGAGAGCAATGCACTTATCATGGTGATTAGTTTTGTTCTACAAAATTCACACTATAGTAGCACCTTAAGTTGCACTTCGTCGTCCTACTGTCGTCTGCCACTGCTTGGTGCCTCCTCGGGTTAAGTAGACACTGAAGTTTATACGCTCACATCAACGTAGTTGTAGGTACGTCTGCCTAATATGTGTGCAGTAGATATAAAACGTGTGAAATTTACAAGAATCAATTAACTCAAAAATACTTATATGCATGTTTATTGTTACTTATATGCTAAAAAATGCAGTTCATGCGACACATACAATTTTACCGGTGTTTATGAGATACTTCCTGGGCAAAGACAATATAATCCCGTAAATCAACTTCAATTAAATTTTGCACAAATACTTATTTATATACATGCTCAAACATCTTGCTAACAGCATCCAAACCGCTAAACCTTGTAGTTGTTTGAATTATGTTTTTGTTTTGTCTATATAAATAATGTATGTGCGCACAATAGCAACATTTTTTCTATAGCAATTTATATTTTCTTTTTGTTTGCAAGTAACCTTGGTAAATTAAATTTCATCACATTAGTAAGAGTTATAAAAAATCCTCACAACCTTGCATCCTCCCATTTTGTTTAACGATTTTTCCTGCTATTCTTCTTTTCCTATACTATTTTGCTTAACACAGGTCAATTAGGTGCAATTATTATAAGAACACAAGGGTACATCAAAATCTTTAAGCCCTTCTCTTACTGTTTATTACATACCTTTGTTATTTCACGGCTACCACTTCTTAAACACCAGCGCGAGTCCTCAAATTCTTACGCCTTTATTGGCCACTGTTACAATAATGTTCAGCCTTTTTATTAATTAAACTAAAAACTTCATATTTCCTTTATATTGCGCTTTACTTAACTACATTTATTTATTATATGGCTTAATATTTTCACACATCTTAGTTTTCAGCTGTTCTCCTCCAGCGACTGATTTTAATCCCAAACCAGCCAAGAAATATGTATAGAAACAAAACAACGCAACAGCAAAAATCAACAATCAGTGTTGCATTTTGTTTTGCTGCATACCATTCGGTGCCTCTTCGTAAAATTGCATTTAACTAATTTATTAAGTTTTGTTATACAATTGAAGTTATATATGCAGATATAGATATAGATTTTCGTTAATTCATATAAAATTTAACTAAAGATGCATTAACGTTTAACTCGTATTAACTGTTTGTATCAAAGAGGGATTTTATATAACACTCTTTAGGTGCTACAACACTTAAATGTGATGTAGGGTGAGCTGTGTGCAATAAAATCGTGTATTTAAATTGTGCGGGCGCATTTACAGTGACGGTGATTAATTGAGAAACGGAAATAGAAAAAAATAAATTTTTTAATAGCAATTAATTAAAAATTTTCTATAATACTAAAAAGAAATACACGATTTTCACAATACCATAAGCGCAATAATTTATTTGCCATATTTGAAATAAGATATATATACATACATAATTTTAAAAAATACCTATAATTGAGGGGTTAAGGCACATACCCAGAGTTAGAACCAGTATCGATATAGACAATAGCGCACAACAAAGATAATTCGGTTGTATTGGCATTTTAAAAATTTTTGCTGACATTTGTAAAGACGATGAAAACAACAGTGTAGAGTTCAAATCATCCGTCGACGTGCTGTGATACACAAAAGGACGTGCACGAATATGATGACCGTTAGCCTGTGCCTTTTGGCACGCATGCGTTACAGAAGCGGCCAACACAAATGGTATGACGCCCAGTAGAAGCCAAAGTAGTACGTTGAAAATATTCAAAAGGACTATTTCCAAAGCAGAATAATGAAAATCCAAATCGTTGAAAATATATATTAGACCAGCAAATGCATATGCTAAATTCATAACGGTTAAAAAGCACACCGGCACAGCAGCATGGCGGTTGAGATGCTCCAATAACTTGTGAAATTCTAGGACCTCCTGTGAAATAAAATAAATTTTGAGTTGCTAGTTAATTTAGTGTCTGGAGTCCGTAATAAGGGTCACATATAGAATTTTTAGAAACTCGTACCGTTAACCAAATAAAAATTATTAAATAATTGTCAGATAGATGGCAGTTTAATTAAGTCGTTAGATTTAGTAAGTTATAAAAACAATTAAACATAATAAGTTCCAACGCACTATCGTTGGTATTTCTGATTTTTAGGGAAGAGAAAGACATGATACGATTTTCTTACTAATCGTGCTAGAAAAAAACTGAGGGCATCGTCTGAGAATATTGTAAATCATATAGCGGTTAATGGTCGCAGAACAGACTAAAGTAGACTTCATTCAATACCGTTCAACTTCTTTCCGAATGAAAGGAATCGAAGTAATTGGCTTGGTATTATTCCATTCGTCCTATAAATTGTTTAGGGGGTCTAAATAAGTTTTAAACCACCTGTAACAAGTTCATAGATTTTATAGGAAATTTACCGTTACCTGTCGAGGTGTGAAACCCATTAGTAAAACATTTTTTGTTAGTCGGAGCAGGCAAACTGTTTTCACGGCTTTTATAAAAATTAAAGCAGTTACCCTTTTATACTCGTTTTTATAACACCTGATCAAATTTAATCCGATAGATGACAGTTTATTATATTCAAAATTACTTTACACTCATTGGATCAAATATGATCCGGACTAGTCCATTTACTGCATGAAAGTCTACTTTATCACGAACGCAAGTACATATTTTAGTTGCACAAAACCTTCAGTGACGGTAGTAAGTCAACGAAAATCATGCGAGTCGTCCCAGTCGAAACTGCCTAACAACCTAACGAATGGCGCTCCAAAGGAGCCGGAACGCAAAAAAAAAATTAAGTTCGCTAAGGATTCATACCAACCGAAGCTTATAAAAATGTATGAAAAATTAGATTAAGAATTGGCGAACTTGTGTTGGCTGAAGAGGAGACTATTTTGAAAGTGTTAATGCAGTTATTATTAAAATACGTCAAAATGTTGTTTTATTTTGTCAGTCCGTGTCAAATTTGATCAGATCTTATATATATTTTAATTACCCGCATCCAATCGGTGGTCTCAATGGAATGCATTAAAAGTTTATGCGACAGCGAGGAAATATGTATACGTAGCAAATAACATTGAATGCAGTAGTTGGCGAGAATTATCACTTCCACTAAGTCCTGCACAAAAAGCGTGATGATCAAGACAACCTGCGACAAAAATATAAATTAGCAACATGCAATGCAACCTAAAATAAAGAACACCTTAGTCGCCAGCTCCCAGTCCGCCAGTATGCCAGTAAACCATTTCACTTGTATGATGCGCGACTGCAAAAGCACCGAAGGAATTGTGTACGCAAAGAGGAAGGCCAACAACACCAATCCACATAACAAATATGACCATAGTAGTTTACATAAACGGCGTGGTTCCAAGCTAGTGAGAAACACACGTTCGATTAGATTCTGCAATTGCTCTTGATCGATTATTTTGAAAACAATTACAGCCGATATAAAACTAGATAGATTTAGCGCATTTGGGAAAATATGACCGAACAACAGTTGACCAACGGTATAGGTGGCATTGGAGCTGGGATCGTTTGTGAGGTCTTGATCGTGCGCAATAAAACCGCGATCGCCACTGAAAAAGTAACAAATTAAGTTATATCATTGGTAATGTTTTAAAAAACACGCTTTCAAAAGGTTTAGAAATTAATTACCGATATGAACATAAATATTGTAGAAAATATCCAAAGGATAGTATCAGCAACACCACCAGCGCCTGTGTATAGTTTAAGCAGCAAAGTACTTTGGACGTATCTGTTGGTATAGGATTTACACCGACAAGTGATAGGACTAAAATAAAAGGACGCAGAAACTGTAAAAGCGATGTTGTAAATGTTCAGTTTATAATTGTGTAAATTTAACTAAATATTATATAAGAGTAAGTCAAAAAGTCCATTAAAGCTAAAATATTTTATTCTACGACATGATCTGGATTTCTTTGAGACTCGCAAATATGAATTAAAATTAGAACTCATCTTGAAAATTTAGTTCAGCCTCTAAATTTCACAACGTCACTATTTCAATATTACTCTATGGGCTTTAGCGACCTCTGTTGTGCCGTCAGTAATAGCAATAGTATTTCCAAACTTGTGTTGAACCGACTATACACACATCTGAAGAACATATCAGCAATAATAAAATGTTATGTCAACTAACTAATTTTTGTGGACTCTTTGACCCACTCTCAAAGTTTTACCTTGCGTTTGCAATAGTCGAGCAACTCAGAAGTTGGCTCATGTGAGTGCCGCAAGTCTTCTACCTATAATGCATAATTAAAAAAATATTAATTGTTATTGCACAAAAATAATCAAATAGGCATTACAAGTATTATATAAAATTTCATAATTTCTCAATATAATTTATACATATATGCGAATTTTTGTTTTTCGGTTTCGGATCGTTTTTGAAGCGCCATTCGCTAGATTATTGTACAGTTTCGACGACAGATTCATAAACCCACATCAAGCATTTATTTAATGAACTCAGCAATATACCGGCGTACTTTCGGACGTCAGAGAAGAGTAACCACTGCACAACTTCGTTCTGGTTACTGAAACCACTTAGCCTCCTACTTATCCAGAATTTTTAGAGCCTGATATACTTAACATATTAGGTGTAGTAAAAAGAAATCCATTATTTTTGCATGAAATTGAATGCTTTAATTATTACTTTTCGTATCCAGCCTTATTTAAATGGTTCCAAACGGTTTTTTGTGCAATGTTTAGATCCTGGACAATCGTATTTGATGTTTGGATTCGGCGATTTCCATTATTTTCGATAATTAGTCTTTCAGAGCGTTGTGCATCTCTTTACTACACCTAGTATATACTAAATGCGAAGAGTCACCGCCTGATACTAAGCACCTCTTTACATGTCCCGCCAAACTTGCTCACTAAAGACTCCTTTCCCTTTGCTCCAGCCCTGACCCTGATGTTACTATGACTTCATGTGATGTAATAGCTGTTGATGTGACATGAAAAAATGTTTAACTTGAGTGCCGGCTATATAATATTAAATAAGAAAGTGCCTGCCCACAGTGCAGAAGGCCACTAATTGGTAGTGATATGTGAGCATATCATGTTACTATGACATCAACTGATTTGTTGACGTGATATGAAATTTATTTTCTTGGCTGTCGGCTATATACATATAAGAAAGTGCCTGCCCACGATGCAAAGGGCCACTAATTGGTAGTGATGTGTGATCATATGAAGTTACTTTGACATCATGTGATTTAAGTGGTATTGACGGGACATAATATTTTTTTTTTTGCTCTTGGCTACCGGGCTTATAAAAAAAATGTTAGCTACTCGACGTTTCTTTTTTTTAATATTCTGGTCTTCATACCCAAAAAATTAACCAAATTGTGTTGAATCGATCCATAAGAGATGTTGAGATCCTCTCCTTACTGCCATCACTACTATGCTCAAGTACTGTTTCTTTAACTTTTTCGATGTTATCGGCATTAACCAAGGTGGATGGACGACTTGCATGAGGCAACTTTTAGAGGACTACACGACCTTAACTGAGAGCTTTGTGCCACTCAAATACTTGTGTTCGTGATTAAGTAGGCTCCTTAAAACATTTATGGTATGTTACTTTTTCAACGATTCCGTAGTCATGATTTCATGGCAAACACAAAATTTCAAGCAAATTCATTGTTCAATATTTTTTCATGGTAAAAGTCGTCATCCAAATTTTTCGCGTCGTAAACAAACAGCTGCCAAACACACTCTAATGAACATATGGGGATTAAATTACACACGAACATAGAAAAAATGTTGTACCATTCTAGAAATTTTTTTTTTATCGATTAGGTTTACTAAACTGGGCCATTCCGAGTCAAATTTGATCAGATGGAACATATATATGCATACATACATTGCGGAATGCCCGAGTTAAGCAAAATCTTAAATTAAAAAAGGTTTGGCATATTTAAATTATAAAGCGCGATATATACAAATGATATATTTGAATATTTTAAAAGGCAGCTCACAAAACATATAAATTTTCCAGTAAACTTGCATTTTTCTATACATATTTACAAATGTATATATATACATATGTATATATGATAAAATTATTCCTTTACTACTCACAACAATCTCAGTCATGCTATCGCCGAGCAGCGACGAACCCACAGTTGTTGTTGGTGCTGAGAATGGATCTAGCCGATTTGTTGATAAACGCAAAAGAGCGCCAGAGCTACTCCCAACACCCGTACCAACAGCGCCACCACTGTAGCTATAACGGTTCGGTGAGCCCACATGCTGCTGATGCATATGATGACGGTATGGAATATGACTGCCATGGTTGTTACCCGCATTGCTATCACTATTTTGTCTTAAATGCTGCCGCACATTCACTGCTGATAAAACATCATTCTCTCCTCTGCCCGCTATGCCGCCAGCCACTGCACATGCAATACTATGCGGACAATGCGTGTTGGCACCAAAGTTGTTGAGCGGATTACTGATTTGAGATGATGCACTGGTGCTCGCCGCTAAGGTGTCCACACAACCGTACATACGCGGCACGCTCTTGCTGCGCTGAGCCACAGCATTTCGATTGGACCAGCTGATGAGTGAGTCCTCAGAGTTACAACGGACACTGGGCAAAGGAAACATCGCTGTGGATGCGGCGCTGCGTCCACGAACGATAGCAATGCCGTTGTTGTAAATTTGGTTTTTATTTTTACAACTCCTTTAACTTACTTTGTCTTACGGTTATTTGTACAAAATTAAATACTTTTGTTTCTTGTTTTTTTTTTTTTTGAGAAAAATTTCGTTTTCAAAGCACTTGCATTTCACTTTGTGCACGCATCTCACTACGCTGTTAAATCTCAACTGTTTTGTATGCTTTACTCGCTCTCCAGCAACGGACTGATGTGCGCGTTAATGACTCAAAGAGCAGTGATAACCTCACAGATTGATAAAATTCACTTTTGTTTATACACAAGTTTATTATTATACTGCATTTATGTAAATTGTGTGTGGGTGTATGTATGTGTATTATTTTATGACTGCGAAATGTTTGTTGGTTGTAAGTCGACAAAAAGAGCCAACATTTTTACGTACTTATTTTAATATTATATAAATCTTTATTATCGCCTTCAAAATAGGCTCCTGAGCCAATACAATCAAGCTAAATCCAACACATATATAAATATCGGTTTTGATGGCCTTCAGCGAATTTCGACTTTAACAGCTTCAGTTCGCTAGACAAACATTTGGCGTCTATTCCTGTCAGTTAGACTCGACTGTTGTGTACGGGGATACTTTAAACACGGACTTGGACTTACATTCGGCCGCGTACTGTTACTTCGGCAGCTGCTTGAATAAAAAATCCAGCGAGTATGGAAGTTTAAGGAAATTGTTTTTAAAATTATCTATAAATCTTTGTTGGATGCTATCAAAAAATGCTGAGCTATGATTTTTTAGTTCACTAAACAAGATGAAATTATAAGACAAAAACAAATAGTATTTTAGAATTTGATATTATTTGCGTCCAAATTCGAACGGACCAAATAATATATATCAATATATAGTATCAATCACAAAACTAGTCTGACAAATATTGGCTAGGTAGTGCTTAGTGTCCGAGCTCCGATTCTACTTTTCAATTAAAAATTGTTTTCTGATATGTCTCACACATCGAAAGGCAATTGCATACTTCCGAGTTTATCATAAACTCATATGCCGTAAGAAATCGGCTTAAAGCTCAAAATCAAGCAACAAAAATTAGGAACTTGTAGCAGTTGAGGCAAATGAAAGTCTAGGTTCTTTAACTGAAAATTTGTTTTGCAGCTTCCTATGTCGTATTGGCTACCCTTGTCTTTTGCATGAAGTAGTGTGGTGGTGGTTTAAAATCTGTTCGTTCGCCAATGAGATTTTGTGATTTTTAGGTTAGAATTTTTAAGGTTTAACACTCAAACTTTTTTGGCGAGTTTTGTGGTTGTCCGCCTGGTATGTATTACAGCCTCTACTCACTAACCACTGCAAGCGAATTATCGATATTATATGAAGCGGGTTACCTTAAACGCCAATTATTTTCACTGCGGAAGGGCAATAATAATGCGATGCGTTTGTTTAATTGAATCATTGATTTTTATTTGTTACGAAATATACAATTATAGAGTTTGTATGTGTGTATATATGTAGGTATGTATGTACGTATGTATATAAATATAAACTTTTAAGCATTCACTATACACTAAATACTTTATCTTCTCATAGCCCCGTTCAACGATAAATATGGGGGTGGATAAGTTGAATACATCGAATTCTGTTGTGCTCGCTGAATGGCACAGGCATCGGGATATTGCGATTGCATATTCATTACCCCCATTTGCATTGGAATCTGCGAATTGGAATAATCACCGCCAGCAGCATAGGTCGGTGTGGCCGCCGCTTGTGGTGTCGTCATGCGATAACCATTTATTGCACCATATGGTGGCATCAAATTCGGACTAATGTGTACATTGGTGGTGCGACTGGTGGTCGATGATGTGGTCACCGACGATACGGCAATATGTTGTACCGGCGCCGATGCTGTATTACGCGTATTCCTATTCACATTTTGTGATGTTGCAATCGGTGCAATATTCATGTTGCTTGAATAGTATTTATGATATTGCAGTGGATTGATTTGCGGTTGCAGCATATTGGGTGGTGTGCCCAAACTACGATTTTGCGTCACCAATAGATGTGGTGGCGGTGTCATCGAATTGTGTGACACTGGATGATGTGGCGGTGGTGTCAAATTCACCTGACCAGCTGGTGAAGTGTTGCATGGCTGTATGTCTAAACCATTTGTTAATTGTTGTAATTTCGAGAGGCTACATAGATTACCAACTTGTGTTGGTGTGGTGCCGGCATTCGATGATGACGATTCGGAAACATTATCTTGTGCCAATTGTGAGTCACCATTGCCGCTAGACGAGCTAGCCGAAGGATCTGGACTGATATGAATGACACCAACACCGCCGCCACCACCACCACCACCGCCATTCGCATTGGTCGCAGCCGATGAGGCCGGTACGGGTACGCGTGATGTGGCCGCCTCATTCGCTGTTAAATTATTTTGTAAATAGAAATTATTCACAGCACATGCTGATGGTGAGGACTGATCCAACGTGCGTTGATGTGGACTAGATAACGAATGTGCAGTGTTGCTGATGGCCATACGTTGTGGTATAACTGTGGGCATGGAAACAATATCATAGGAGTTGGTTGCATTCGAAGAGTAATTTTGTATGTTTGGTGGTATGGATGTGATATAGTCAATATGCATATTTTGTTGGTGGTGATGTTGACCGCTTAGTTGTGAATATTGTTGTTGCATATTATGTAAATGTTCTTGCTGTGATTGCAAGAGATTTTGATTATTATTGACACTCTGTTGTTGTTGCTGTTGTTGAGAGACATTGACAGCAGCATTAGTGGGCGGTGTGCTTTTAGGCTGGCGATGTTGCTGTTGCTGATTGTTGCCAGTTGTGTTGCCGCCACGTATAGCCTTTGGTGTAGATGCACGCTGATTCGAACTGCTGGCTACCAATTCAGCCTAAAGAGAAAGCGAAAAGAAAAAATTTTAAATATAGTGTAAACAAGGAAACTCTTAACTTCGCTTGCACCGAAGCTATAATAAACTTCACAAATAAAAGTTTTCCATAAAATAACTTGATTTCGATAGGTCAGTTTGTATGGCAGCTATAACCTATAGTGGTCCGATATTGACGGTTCTGTCAAATTAGCAGCTTTTTGGGGAAAAAATTATGTGTGCAAAATTTCAGATCTAGATCTCAAAAACTATGCTTATATATAGACAGTCAAACAGATGAACAAACAGGCGGACACTGCTAAATCGACTCAGTTCGTCACGCTGATTATTTATAAATACATATACTTCATAGGGGCTCCGACGTTTCCTACAAACTTTGTGGCAAACTTTTTATACCATGTGCAGGGTATAAAAAATAATATTTGCTGAACTTCTAACATTAGCTAACCATTCGTCTATTCGAATGAATTGAATAAAATTGTGTTACTCTCTCACCTATTATCACCAGTCGCGATTTTCAGTGCATTATAATATGGTAAAAATCGATGGGTAAAAAAAACCCGTTCCGGATTTTGCCAGGACAAATATGGTCACCTAATTCTAACCTTATTTATTACAAATTTTCCAAATACCTGCTGATTGACTTTGCGATTTTGCTGCCCATGTTGTTGTTGTTGTGAGGCTGTAAGCGAATTTAAGCCCTGCGCGCTGCTCGACGGCATATTTAAATTGAGATTAGCTTGCTGCTGTTGTTGTTGAATGTGTGAAGTTTGTATGGCCATGTGCATCGGTGTATTTCCCGAATGGCTTTGCATTGAACAATCAGAATATTGTGATTGTTGTTGTTGCTGCTGCTGCTGTTGTAAGTGTGGTGTGGTAGAAGGTATTGGATCTGGTGTATTTTGTTGTATATCACTGCCAATACTCGATGGCGAATCCATATTCATCGGCACAGTCATGCCGCAATCATAATGATGCAAATTACTCGCCGAATGATTTGACGAGCCTGAACTATACGCCATTGGTGTTGTAATATCTTGTGTCGCGGCCTGTTGTTGTTGATGCTGCTGCTGCTGTTGTTGTTGTTGTTGTTGATTGGCGGCATTATGTGCGCTCAGCTTTACCTTATTCTCTTCAGCGGCACTCAAATTGTTGTGCTCCCCGCGCACTTTCTGACCGCATAAAGCTTGTTGAGCGAGCGCATTACTGGGTATGGGTATTGGATTGTAAAATCGAGAACTAGCGTTAGGCAAGAGATTTAACGATTTGATGTGTTGTGTTTGGTCTGTGGACATCTTGTGGGATTTCGTTTGTATATTATTGCATTTCTGAGCATAAGCGGACGCTTGAGGATTTGAAAAACCACAATTATGGGGATCCTCCCGGCTGCCGCTAAAGCTTTGACTGTTCGCATTTGCACTACTCTTAGCCGAATCTTCCTTCTTGCAGGCGCTCATTTTTCTATCGCTTTTCAATTTATCTTTTGTATGTTGTTGTTGCTGCTGTTGCTGTTGTTGCTGCTGCTGCTGTTGCTGTTGTTGCTGTTGTTGTTGCTGCTGCTGCTGCTGCTGTTGCTGCATATGCTGATGCGCATGATGCTGTATAGCGGATTGGTAGAAATTCTGCGTAAAATTGTGCGAATAAGCCATGCTTGTGGCTAGATCTTTGAATTTATTTTGATTCTTATGACTGGCGGCCTCCAATGTTGACAAATTGTAGCCATAGTAGTCCCATTGCCAATATTGTGGCGTATTTGCGTAATTCGGTATTTGATTTATGGCAAACGGCGTGGCAATCTTATTTAAATCCATTGAGTTTTGCATTTTCTGATGCTCGGCAGCGGCAACTGCGGCCGTGTTGTATGGATTCTTCTCATGCAAGGATAACAAGGCGGCGTCGCTGCCTTTATTGGTTATAACTTGTACTTGCTTGTCTTCCTCTTTTATCTTAATGTCTGTATGTGTAATAATGGATTTTTGTTTATCCTTAACGGTTTTCATAAACGAAGTATTGCTACTCGCATCGTTGCGACCGGTATTTATGGCGTTAGCATTTGATATGACAGCTTGATTGGCGGCGCTCTTCTTAACAGACGCTTGCATATGTGCCCTCTGCAATTCCAATGTGGCTGTTGCAGCTGCCGCCGCGGCAGCGGCTTCATTCATTTTTTGTATTTTTAATTTATTCAGTTCACTGCTTTCATGCATATTATTTGATTGGGTGTAAATCTTTTCCTTTCTTTCGGCAACTGCGCTTTCCATAGAATTTTTGATCTTCTTCTCATTCATTTTGCTCTCAGGCGCATTGTCTGCATAGGGTTTTGTGTGTGGCGATGCTGTTTTAATATTCATGATGGGTTTGGTTTCAACAAGCTGATCAGTTTTGCAGATAATTGCTGCTTCACTGGTTGTTGGCTTGGGTATTTGCAGCTGCTGTGCTGGTGCAACTGTTGCCGTGGTTGGTGTTGCGACTGCTGTTGTCATCGGTGTCGCTGTTAATACCGGTGTGGGTGCAATTACAGGTGCAGACGCAATTGCTGTGTTAGTTGGGGGCATTGCGGTTGGTGCGACTAGTGATGGTGCCGTCAATGCAGCGGGCATTGTAACAGTTGCTGCTGCTGCTGCTGTTGTTGTTGTTGGTGTGGTTGCCGTTACGGTTGCAGCAGCCAATTGTTTTGTATCACTTCTACTTTCGTAGATATCTTTCTGTTCGTCATCCTTGCTGCTTTTCTCATTCGTAAGGCACGGCGAATTCGCACAATCTTCTTTTATTGTTGGTTTTGGTGAAATTTGTGCTACCATTTTAGGCGATGCCTCAGTTTCAATACATTCTATTTTACATAATGGTTCCTTAACAACTGTTGTAGTTGTTGGTGTTACCTCTGTTGTGATCGGCTCACTTTTAGTGGCAGCAACTGCAGTCGCATTAGCTTTAACTTCGATTTCGGTTTTTTGTTCAACATGTTGCACAGTATTGTCTGCAGGCATAGCAGCAGCATCTTTAGCCACTTCGTCCAAAATTTTTGGTTTATCATCGTTGACATTGACAACGGCAATTGTTGTTGCATTATCGCTGGCGGCATTTACGCTCTTAACATTTACTTCGTTTTGCTCGTTCTCATTCTCGTGCGGCGACTTTTTAGTATCGTTCAAATTCAACTTCGGCTCTGCTGTGACACTGGCGCTGGTGGTGTCGGTATTCTCCACCATTAATTCGGCAAAGGTCTTCTTTGTCTTCTTCGCTACGGCTTCCAACACTTTTTCATCGTTCCCCGCTGGCAACGCGGATGTTTCGGTTTTCAACGGCGTCGTTTGTTGTATCGGCTGTTTTATTTCTTGTACTGGCTCTGGTTCTGATTGCATTTGCGTTTGTTGAGATTGTTGTTCTTCTTTTTGCTCAGCAATTGCATTTGTCGCAACGTCTCCTTCGACGTTCTTTATTACTGTTTCGGCAACGGTGTTAGCTGCCGGTTCTGTATTGTTTTTTGTTTCCTGCTTGCTGTCCGGTTCTTGCTCAGCAATGTGCGGTTCGCTGGTTACACTGTCATTTTTAGCGCTGTTGGTGTTACTGTCATTATACATGTCATTGGTTTTCTTCTCAATGCTCTTCTTGCCACGCAATTTGGGTACGGTTGTTATCGGTTTATCATTATTACAATTTTTTATTGATTTATCTTCAGCCGTCTCTTCCACTCCTATGCATTCTTTCGCAGCTTCAGGTTCGACTATGGCTTCAGGTGCAGGTTCTGGTACCGTTTCGGCTGCAGGTTCAGGTTCAGGCTCCGGCTCAGGTTCAATAGCCATTTTCTCTACCGAATTCGTCTCTTCTTGTTTAATATTCACCTTTAATTCATTTTGTCGTTCAAAATGTTTCCGTTTATTGGTGGATACAATGGGTGTACTTTGTTTACGATTCGCCAACCTTTGTGCGCGGCTGGTTGGTTTGTCATCTTCAATACCCATAGCATCCATCGCTTCACCTTTCGTCTTATCTGCAACAACAACTGGTTGCACAGGTGAATTTTGAATTCTTCGTCTTTTTTCAGGCTTATTGCTGATTTCCGGCTCTTCAACCGTCGGCGGTGTAATACCGTCATCTCTGCTAAGGTGCCGTTTGCGTGGATTCCTCCTGGCGACTTCTACGACAACACTTGTGGCCGCTTTTACGTTTGCATTATCACTGTTCGTGTCAATTTTTGTGTTTACTGTTTCCGGTAGCTTATTTTGCACGTGTGCGTCTTGACTCGGCGGTTCGTTGCTTTCGTCTACCACCTCATGCATGGAGTTTTTTAAATCGGTATTAGTATTTTTTACATGCGCGGGTTTACGCTTGTGAAAATTTAGTTCGACAGTTGCGCTGGCGATTTTATCATTGCTGAAATTGGACAATTTACTTTTACTGCTGTGCATGCTGCCGCCATCATTCGTAATCGTTTCCTTTTTTATAAAATGCGCATTGTTCGCAATCAGCGAATTCGATTTTCGTGATCTAATACGTTCGATAGCTATCTGATCGGACCTCGTGGAGCTATCCAAGAAACTCTCTTCAGAGGATTTTGTGCCATCGCCAGTCAATGATTTGGACAATAGCGGACTCCAGCGCAAACAATCCGTCTCTAATGGTATACGTTTGGAGTTCTGCAGTTTCTTATAGTGTGATATCACTTTCTCCCAATCAACCTTGATATTGATCTGGTAACGTATGTCGTCTTCATTCTTTCGCAATTTAATAAAATTCAACAATTCAAATGCCAATGCTATATCGGAAACGGTTAGTCCTGTTTTGTTGGCAATATCTTTGAAGGTGATGCGTCCATCATTTCTGTGACTGTAAATATATTCCAAAATTATGGATTTCCAGTAGGAGAAATATGAGAGTCTGCCCAAATCGGATAGTGGCTTTTCTGGTGTGCCAACTTGACCCTCCTCCCGACTCAACAGATAACTAAATTCAATAAGGAATCTACCGAAACCCTGCCTTTGAAATTGTGGCATTGTCAATATGCAGGATACATTAAACTTCTGTGCGCAGTGTTTCTCTTTAGAGAAATAGCCAACCAGATGGCAACCTTTCTTATCGTTTTTTGTTAAAATATAAAACAAAAACGGCTCAACGTCATAGTAAAGTGTTTTATGATCCAGAAACAGTTTGGCCAGCAAACATAGATTTTGACAATATATCTTGTTAATATTGCCATCGACCTCAAATACCGATATATCGTTATGACGATATATTTCGGTGCCTGGTGGTTGCTTCCAAAGACATTTGTTTTGATGCCGATCCAACACAGATCTGCTCTTTGTATATTTCAAACAAAATTCGCACAAATACAATTTGGGTAGTCTACAAAAGAAATGCAGTTATAACGTAAATTAAAATATGCAATAGGTAAGAAAGTTTCCAAAAAAAAAATATATTAATAATATAAAATAAAAAACTATAAAAATAAAATAAAAAATTATAATAATAAAATAAAAAATTATAATAAAACAAAAAAATATAAATAAAATAAATTATATGTAAAACAAAATTTAAAAAAATTTAAATTAAATAAAATAACAAAGAACAATAATAAATAAAATAAAATAAATTATATTATATGTAAAAAAATATTAAATTTAATTTTAAACATTAAAAAAAAATAAAATAAAAAAATATATAATATATATAATATATAAAATAAATAAACTATATGAAAAAAAAAATTATAATAAAAAAATTAAAATTTAATTCAAAAATAAAATTAAAATAAAAAATATAAATAATAAAATAAAATAAAAAATTATAATATTAAAATAAAACAATACAAATAAAACAAATTATATGTAAAAAAAATTAAAATAAAATTAAAACAAATTTAAAATAAACTATATGTAAAAAAAAATAAAATAAAATAATATAAATTAAATAAATTATATGTAAAAAAAATATTATAATAAAATAAAAAAAATTTAAATATAAAAAAATTTAAAATAAAAAAATATAAATAATAAAATAAAAAATTATAATAATAAAATAAAAATATATAAATAAAATAAATTATATGTAAAAAATAAAATAAAATATAAATAATAAAATAAAATAAAAAATTATAATAATAAAATAAAAAATATAAATAAAACAAATTATATGTAAAAAAAAAGTATACGTAAAAAAAATTTTAATTAAATTTAAGTAAAATAAAAATAAGCATAACAAAAATAAAACATACCTGGCATATTCTTGTGGAAAAGGACTCGAATACCAGGTTTCGATATGCCACTTTCCGATTTCAATTGCCGATGGACAACGCTCTTGTGTTGGCCCAATATTGGCATTTGTTAGCGCATTTAGGCTTTTCAATTCCGTTATTTTCTTTGCAGCATTCTCACGTATTTTCTTATAAATTGTTATATCACTCTGTTCTACGCCATTTGGTAGCGGTTGATTTTCTATATAACAAAAGCACAAGCATGTCAGTGCGATATATAAACAAAATAATTTTATATGAGACAAATTTTAGTTTAATTTTTAGTACTTTTTATTATTGAAATAACATGTTCCCAATAAAGTCTTTACTTTTGTCTTTTTGATATTATTTCTTAAATTATATATAATGCTTACCAAATGGATTCTCTGGATACACCTCTTCATATTCGACCTTCTCATTGGAGGAACTTTCTTCATTTGTAAAGGGCTTTACGCCTCTAGCGTAATTTGTATTTTCCATCATTTGATACTTGATAACAGTGCTTTCATTCAAATAGGGCACCTCATCGTCATCGCTCTTATAGACGGTACGTTTTGTATCCAGCGGCGCAGACTTGAGTGTGGCTACTTTCTTTTTCTGCACTTTTTCCACTGGTTTTTTTGCACTTCGATTGGCAGCGACTTCTACTGACGCTACACTGGTCTCTGGCAAGTCATCCTTTTTTGTTGTTGCTTTGGTTGTACGCTTTTCCATTTGGTCAACTTCGTTGCCAAGATTTTGTAATGGCTTGTAATTCATTTGTTTGTTTCGCGTGTTTATCTCATCGGGTACTAAATTCTTATTGAAACCAGTTAAAATATTGCCACACTTTTTTAGCGCGAAACTATCCGTTTCCATATTTCGCGATTGTGAAAATATGTCAACACGATTTTTAGCAACAGCAGCAAAGCCCCAATGTTCATCTTTTGATTTGGTATTTTGTGACGTGTAATTTTTTGCTGGTACATTAATTTCTTTCTTTACTGGGATTTGTGAAATGAATATATTTGATTTGGACTCACTTTTATCCGAGTCACAATCATCGTCATCATTTTCTTCATAATTATCTTCTTCATTGTCGAATTCGGAACTATCACTGCTACTCTCGCTCGAATCGGAACCCGAACTGCTTGAAGAACATGAACCCGATGAAGTGCTATCGTCTTGATTGTCATCATCAAAGTCCATATTATCATCTTCATCGCTATCACTCGAAGAACTCGACGACGATAAATCTGATGGTGTTTTCTTTTTTGTACGTTTTGTATCGTTCGTCGATGCATCCAATTTATTAAGGAACCCCGCAAATTGTCTGCGCTGTCTAAACATTTTCAAATGCGAATTATGCGCAATACTCTTTTGTAAATTCTGTGAAGATTTAATAGCTTGACTTAGAGAAATGTCTTTGTACATTTCTTTGGAACCTTCGTATTTTGAAAGTTTTGATGTTGTTGGATTATTGTCTATTTCATCTATAATTTGACGTTTACATGAAATTCCGGCCGCCGCACCCATACTACGCTTATCCTTTAGCTTGCCACCAATCCATTCTTTATGCCGTGTTCCAGTGTATTCAGAAGTTGATGCCATCACGAGCTTGCCACCTCTGGTCGCTTTATACGTTTCACCTACTGTTTGACTTCTGAAATAAGAGCAATTTATATATTAATATTACCAAATCTGTCAGAGCAAAAATCGCAAAACTATGCAAATGAACTTTTAACTTGCACTTACCGATTTTTAACTGTTTCCAAGCCTTTCTTCGTCACCTCTTTCTTAACAACATCAAAATTTTGCAGTATGCAATTTTTGCATCTAAAATATATATAAAATTTATTTTTTTTTTTAGAAGTAAACCCAGCTTTAAATTACCTATAAGGATGCTTGGGCTTTTTATCTGGTACAGTGTCCAAACATGTTAAATGATACATTTTCTTACAGGCCGAGCATTCCAGCAAACACGGTCCCCGGTCGGTGCATTGGCAGATACTACATTCCGCGCAATTTTTACAATACCATATGGAACCTTTCGTAACTAGCATATATAGTAGCACATATGATTGTGATTTACACTTCGCTGCTATATTTGCACATGTCGTGTGTAATGACATTCCGCACTTTTTGCAAGAGCTCAGTGGCTCAGGTATACCATTTCGATTTTTTTGTGCATCACCGGAACAGTAGGAACAATTATCGTCACCCTTTGTGCAAGAAAAAAACAAATGACAGTATTAAATCAGTATTACCTCTACTAGGTTGTCACTAAACTATACTTACAGTAGTCACGGTCACCTCCAATGTGGATGACGACTTTCGTGGTGTAGTTAGTGATCGCCCCTTTTTGTATAATTTTCCTTCCTGTACAAGAAATCCAGCATCCACTGCTTTTCTAATAGAACTTTTTATAATAGCACGAAAATCAACGTCGGGACCAAGATCTATGTTATTAAACTTTTGTATATAATTTTCAATTGTTTTTATTGTTGATCCCTCGCATTCACCTAAATCATGCACTGCTTTTGCAACTATTTTACACAAATTGCTATTTTTTTCTATTTTAATCCGCCTCTTTGCCATAGGCGCTTTATAGGAATGTAGTCCTTTGTTATATACTTTAATTACGGCACCCGACTCAACCGCTTCTTCTAATTTCTCTGCCACGATATCTTCATGAAATTTGTGATGACTTCCAATCGCTTGGCAAATGCGTTGTACGCTTGGCCTTTGTTTTTGGGAACGTATTTTTGAAATCGCTTCCAAAATCCACTGCTTCCAAGTATCAAGACTTATGTCATGAGCGGATTCCCTCATTTTGTATCTGCAATAGTATGGACAAAACCAATTAAAATAATATTGGACAAGCAATATTATTTGCTTTTATTAGCAATTACAGTTTTTTCAGTCTTGTCAGGCTTGCTTATTTTGATTTCTGCATATTTTATATGCAATCATCTTTAAAAAGAAGTTAAATAATAGATTGACACCATTATAGAAATTGCACTACGTATATTATTAATGTGTATGCATTTGTTTTTACATTTGTTTATATGTATATACATGACATATTTAATAACACAAGTGTTTCGACAGCATTGCATTTGCACTTGTGATTTGCCAGCAAGATAGAAAATTTACTTGTAGGTATGCTAACGCGTTTAGATATTCCTTGTACCGGATGAGGTAGTATGCACATAGTATATAAATATGTATGTACTGATGTAGGTCACTAAAACTTTTCACAAATCAAATAACTTGAGAAAAATCAAACAGCATAATTTTCCATATCAGATTACATTTTTTTTTATTTTATATGTCGACGTTATAGATATTGAACAATTTTTATCAGCTTAATATTGAATAAAACTGTTGCTGGTATTAACTTGTAAAATTTGTTACAAGCCAACCAAAAGCTACGGAACACTCAAACCGTACACACAAAATGATATTGAATTGTATATCTAAACCGTTTTTTACAATGTGTTTTTATAGTAATATTAGAACACTTAAAGCTTTTCTATACCTTATAGATTTATAAATTCTATAACAATGTTTTTATATGTATAATAAAACGTATCTTCTTAGAATTCTGGCACGCCAAGATGCGATTTAGTTATGAATCGTTACATATGTGGTTACTTTTAGTAATATCGTATTACCAGACAGAAATAATGGATGATGGATTTCGCGGGTAATCGTAACTTAGTAATCGATAATTTACGTATTCGGGTAAACGGAAAGCATTTTGAAAGAATAAATAAATAGCGTATTTAATTTACAAAGATTTAGATTAAATTAAATTTGAAAACATCTAAAGAAAGATATTACAAAATACCATATAAATGACATAAATAAAATTCGATAAGAAAACCATTTTTTCAGTCCACGAAGATGATTTCACTATACCACTGCCAACTTCAATTTAAGGTCACAGACATTCCCATCTGAAATTGTTTTTGGTTTCAATTTTTTGTTAATAAATTTTAAAAAATAAAGTTCACATAAAGTAATAAAACTATATAACATAAAAATTCGAATTTCTTATTCTATCGATATTTACGATAGTTTTTCTTTTGATATGCAACCACCCGGTACTCGATTCCGTGTTTTCCTTTTATACGTTCTCAGCTATACACATCTGTCAACAGTTGATTTGGTGTAAAGAAAAGAGTGGTAGTGTCGTTGATATCCTATTTTTCTGCTTGTAATTGATTTAAATTGAGAAAATGTTTTACAATAAGTTGAATAATTTCAGTATAAAGTTTTAAAATGTTGCAACGACTATAAGATTAAGTATATATTGTTGACTATGTGGATGAACTTCACATACCTATAAGTCTTTGAAATACACTTGTGAATAACAGGTACATAATTTGTTGTTTATTGAAAAATAAGTGATAATAATAATTGTTTATAAACAACGAATGGATAAAGTGTTTCTCGACAGCTCATTTATTCATAAGCCAAAAAATAAAATTTGTAGCTGATATCTACAGATTTATTATAGTTACATGTATAAATGTTATTACGAGTATATGTATTAACATAATGTGTGTATATTATGATTAGAATGCGGTGGAAAGCGAAGTTAAGATTTACTTATGTACGGCCATATGTATCTTCAATTATGTATGTGAAAGAAAATTTTCATTTTCTTGTGCTTTCTTGAATTCAACGTAGAAAAAATGTAGGTTTTTGTGCAAAAACAAAAGAAACTAAATGTTCCTACAACTCTTCACACATATTTTCCGTTTTAAATTACCCTACAAATACTCTTTTTTGTGAAGAATCTAGTGCACATACCTACATTCACATCTTGATTTGTGATGCTAATACATAGTGTGATACACGGCTGAATCATTAATGTGCTTAAATAAATGTAACAAAAAAATGTTAAGGATTAATAAAATTAATAAATTTTACATTCCGGCACTCCTTTTTCATTGGCAGTAACACTTAACACATATGTATGTGTGTGATTACATATTTATCACTGTATTAATATGTCGGCGTGTACAACTCATTGCCCTTTTGCAAAAGCAGATGCGTGAAGATTTGTGTTTGCTTCAAGTGCTGATACGAAATTTTGTACCTACATGTCATTTACAAATATACTTATGTATATACTTAATAATTTTGTTGGTTATACTACTAATACCCGTTCTTAATGGGCCTCATATATATTAAATCGCCAAGCGAATAGTCAATGAATTGATTCGTAATTCACAAGTATTTTAATTTATAATATTTTTGTTCATCTGCCTACTAATGTATTTAATAATTCACAGAAAATTATAATGGATTCCCAAAATCATATGGATACGTACAATGAGAATGCTGCATTGAATCCGCCTGCCATAAATAGGCCGGCAGAACCATTCCAACCTTTTTTGCGACCGGAAATCACAGGCCTCAATCCGGAAGATCCTTATGCACAGTATCTAAGAAACCAGGAATCACTGCTTTTAAACGATATGAACGCTAAACAATCATTAGATATGTTAAAACAACAAACCAGCGCACTTGACGCATTAGGTTATCCCTGTATTGGTGGTAATAGTTATCCGCCGAATGACCACTTTGGACAGAAAAGAAAGAAAGACTCCGAAAACGATGAAATGGTAGAGGCAAAGAAATTAAGTAGCAATAACATGTCTGCGGAAGAGAAAAAGACTGCAAACATGCGTAAAAATATACGAGATGTCTTCGATGAAAATCAATTGGATACGAATACACTAGCAGCACAACGTGAAGAAACTGAACGTCTGGCACGTGTTGCTGAACAACAGAAAATCATACGTGAAACACAACGCCAGGCAGCGGTCAATAGAAGTTTTGTGCGCACACAAAATAAAGTACTCTCCCTTTTACAAAGTGGTACAACATTTGCAAAGGTCACCAGTGAAACACCATTCGAAGAAGTCGACACAACTTTAACAGAGTCTGAACAAAATGAAAGTCCACAAGCCCTACCCATTGTCAATGATGAAGATAAGCTTACTAGTAAAGTGGAAACGGAAAGTGTTTCACAAAAAGACGTTAAACCAATTTCGCCAACACCAATTGATGATGATGATGATGACAATGTTAAGCCTGCAGAAGAACAAGTTATCAGCGACGTGGTGACAATAGAAGATAGTTCCTCTGAGGACGATTGCATTATGCTATCTGACGATGAAGAGGAGCTAGATGATGAAGAAGAGGTGGACGATCCGAGCAATAGCGGTCTACATGTTAAAGATGCTTACAATGTGGCCGATGAGCAAGGACGTGTTTTAGTTAATATCGGTCATCCCGAGGGCGAAGATGACATATTCGTAGCGCCACAAATAGCACGCACTATCAAACCACATCAAATTGGTGGTGTGCGTTTTCTTTTCGATAACATAATTGAATCAACGAAACGTTTTAAAAGTTCCAGCGGTTTCGGTTGTATACTCTCGCATTCAATGGGTTTGGGAAAAACGCTACAAGTGATTTGTTTCTGTGATATCTTCCTGCGGCATACACCATCCAAAACAGTGCTTTGTGTTATGCCCATCAATACATTGCAAAATTGGGTGTCCGAATTTAATATGTGGTTACCGAAATACTCTGATAATCCCGAACATATACGTCCCAGACAATTTGACGTTTTCATACTCAACGATCAGCATAAAACACTAAGTGCACGTGCCAAAGTTATACTTAAGTGGGCCGAAGAAGGTGGTGTGCTGCTCATAGGCTATGAATTGTTTCGATTGCTGGCATTAAAATTGATGTCGACACGTAAACGTCGCAGCAATAAAGCGGGAAATTGTGAACGCAGTGGCACAGAAATGAATAGACGTTTAATGGAGAGTGTACATCAGGCATTAGTCAAACCCGGTCCGGATTTGGTTATATGTGATGAAGGTCATCGCATTAAGAATGCACATGCCGGCATATCACTTGCACTGAAACAGATACGCACACGCCGTAGAATTGTATTAACCGGCTATCCATTACAAAATAATCTGCTAGAATATTGGTGTATGGTGGACTTTGTGCGTCCCAATTATCTAGGCACACGCAATGAGTTTTGCAATATGTTTGAACGACCCATACAAAATGGCCAATGTATTGACTCAACGCCGGAGGATCACAAATTGATGCGCTATCGAGCGCATGTGTTACATTCGCTGCTTTTGGGCTTTGTGCAACGGCGTTCACATGTTGTGCTACAACAAACACTACCTAAAAAATTAGAATATGTCGTACTAACGCGTATGACAACGTTTCAACGGCAACTTTACGATACATTCATGAATGATATAGTGCGTACCAAATCTGTTCCTAATCCCTTAAAAGCCTTTGCTGTGTGTTGTAAAATATGGAATCATCCTGATGTTTTATATAGTTTCTTGAAAAGAAAAGAAATTGACTTGGAATTAGAAATGGAGGAAACCGAGGTTATTGGCGAGCCAACAACAACAACTACAACAACAACTGTTGTTACACCGTTATGTGCAGTTGAAAAAGCCACGTCGCTGGAAGATAAGCCAACAAACGAAGGCGTTGTTAATGAACCAATTTGTCAAGATGGCAAGCCCAAAGAAGATCTTTGCTCCGAGGCCAATTCGCCGGCATCAGAGTGCAAGCAGGTGGATCAACAATCGCCAGCAGATATGACACAGCGTGAGGGGCAGGCTTTGGTGGCGAACAAACCGAACACGGAGTTTTCCAATTTGATGAAGAGGTATGTGATAGCATATAGCATATATGCAATAATGGGCTAAAATCGGGCACATATTGGTTATGCGCCTTAAAATATGCAACAACGTACAAAAAAAAATGCATATATTGATTAGGCGCCTAGAAGTATGCGACATTATAGTAATTAAAAATTAATATCTGTTTTTATATATAATCTAATCGAGATTTGTACAAAAAAGGATTTTATTAAAAAAAAACATAATTTTTTAATTTTATTATACATATTTAAATAAAATAATGGAAAATAATACTAAGCATAAATATATCGTACTAACGTTAATAATTCACTCTTACAGCTCAATGCTATCGGATCACTATAATCAACAGCAGAACGATGTACCCTCTTATTTGGGGGGGAATGGCAATAATTATTGGCAAGAGTCCAACGTAAATTATTTCAATTATCAAACGGTCAGCGATAATATTGAATCATTATCGAAGCCGAACTATGTTGGTATGGTGCCACAGCGTGCCGAAGAAACTCCAAACGAGGCCACTGAGGGAGCAGGGTCTTCACAAATCGTCGATTTGGATACGAAGGAAATAAAAACCGTTGAAACCGACATAGATATGACACTCTGCCCGGTAATTAAAAATGAGACACCCGGCGAAAATGCTGTTTTAGCAAATGCAAATGGTGAGGGTGCAACAACAGCCGGCAATACAGAGGCCTTGATCGAGGATATCAAAATGTTAACCAGTACGAATTCTATAGGCAATGAAAAAGATGTTGGCAAGGTGAAACCAGACGATACAACGCTGCATGAATGGGCCATAGACCTGATGAAGAAATACCGACCGGGTCTGTTGGAAAATTCGCCTAAAATGGAAATACTCTTTTGTATACTAAACGAAAGTGTCAAACTTGGCGACAGAGTGCTTTTGTTTAGTCAGAGTCTATTAACGTTAAACTTAATAGAGACATTTTTGCAAATGACACGTATGCCGGATTCGGATATGTGCTGGGGGCGTGGCGTTTCGTACTTTCGTAAGTGTATTAGTTTTTGTTATTTAGTAACATTTTTCTTAATCTTTATTGTTTGTGTCACGCACTATTAGGTCTGGACGGTTCTACTACATCGCAAGAACGTGAACGGCTCGTAAATGAATTTAATTCCAATACAAATGTAAAATTGTTCTTGATTTCAACTAGAGCTGGCTCGCTAGGTATAAATCTTGTCGGCGCGAATCGTGTTATAGTTTTTGATGCCAGTTGGAATCCCTGTCATGATACACAAGCAGTATATAGAATTTACCGGTGAGTTATATACGCTCTAAATATAAACTAAACAATATTTTGACAGTTCGAATGCCATTTTTTTTTCATTTTAGTTATGGCCAAAGAAAGCCATGCTTCGTTTATAGAATTGTAATGGATAAGTGTTTAGAAAAGAAAATATACGATAGACAAATTAAGAAACAAGGCATGTCCGATCGAGTAGTCGATGAGTGTAATCCCGATGCACATCTCTCGATAAGAGACATCACCAATCTCTGTCATGATTATGATGATGATGATAAGAGTCAGTCAGAGATACCGGAATTCACTACACCGCTCGATTCATTCGAGGATGTTTTAATACGGAAAATTGTGGAACAGCATAAAGGCGGCTTATCCAAGGAGCCATTCTTCCACGAAAGCTTGTTGATCGACAGAAAGGAGAAGAAACTGTCACAGGCTGAGAAAAGGCAAGCACACCGTGGCTATGAAATGGAGAAGAAGGCGAGTGTTAAACAAAACTTTAGTGTGCCCATTAAGAATCAGTATCGCATTGTGCGTAACGACGGCAGTATTGTGACGCGTCCTGTTGCGTCGGTAAATAAGCAATGCAAAAAATTCACTGGATTAATAAGAGATTGTAAAAAATATTTCAAATATCATAAATTTTTTGCAAACTTTTACAGATACGACCAATGCAAACAACTAAAACAACAACGGCGACCAAAAGTGGTGGTATACGTACCACCCGCTGGATACCAGCTGAGGTATGGCAACGGCAAGGCATGACGGCACAAGAAATGACGTTGCCTTTGGGTAAGCACTTTGCGTTTTTTAATAAACATTTGGTTTTACGTTAGCTAACAATGTTTTTTTTTCCTTACTCCACAGACGTTGTTATACCCACACATTCGAATGACAAATCGAATATAATTTTAAAGTCGGGACAGCGAGTCATGGTTTTGAAGTCCGCAAAAGGCATTTATATGCAATTGGAGAGTGGCAAAATTATTGCAATTCGAACGTCCAGCAAGGCGGCAGAAGTGAATAAGACGGACAAGGATGAGGTGATTGATATCACAAATGAAGGTGATACAGCTGAGAAGAAAGGGGAAGAGGGCAAAACTGAAATTGCGAATCAAAAAGAAAGCGACAGCAAAGCAAAAGGTAAAGAGTTAGAGTAAACACAAGCACCTGTTTCAACACATGCATTTCATTATTGTTTCAATTCAACACAAAAGTAAGAGAAAACATTTACTTTGGCTTCACCGAAGTTATAATAACTTTTACAGGTGTATTTGTTGTAGCATAAAAGGGTATAATAAGATATATATGACATATATATGCTATAGTGTTCCGATCTGGAAATTTTATTCGGAGTTAGTAGCGTTGTCTTAGACAATATTTTATGCCAAATTTCGTGAAGTTACCTCGTTAAATAAAAAAGTTTTTTATACAAGAACTTAATTTTGACCGTTCAGTTTGTATGGCAGCTATATGCTATAGTGGTCCGATATTGGCGATTCCGATAAATGAGCAACTTCTTTGGGAGAAAAGGACGTGTGCAAAATTTCAGGTCGATATCTCCAAAACTGCTTGGTGTTACACACTTTGTGGCCAACTTATTTCAAGTACCCCCTGTTCGGGGTATAAAAATATAAATACTTTGAGTGTAGACTTTTCCAACAACACTGATGGTTTATATAGCCACACTTGATAAAATATATATGCAAAGGATATATAAAAATTAAGGTAACAAACAACACAACAAAAATTTAGTTCGGGAGTTAAGTAGTAGCTTCGGAAAAGACAGCGATTAGCTGTGATTTGTATCAAAATAATAACAAAAACAAGAAATAAAGGTCTAGCATACCTTCCATATATAAAGAAGTTTGCTTACAAGAACTTGATTTTGTTCGTTCATTTTATGTGTCAGCTATATGATATAGTGGTCCGATATCGGCGAAAAGGAAAATCTTAGAGCGATATCTCAACCGATATCTGAGGGACTAGTTCGTGTATATACAGACAGCTCATCACCCTGTTTATTTATTCATACATATATTTTATAGGAAAAACTTAATATACCCTGTTCAGGGTATAAATACACTCAACAGTTCGACCAATTTCGCTAACATTTTATAAATTAACTATTAACAATGCCTATTTCTTTTTAACAATTTCCCAGGATCTCAAAACACTGAAACGACTGAAAAATCGGCCGGTTATGACAAAAGTACTAATAACAATACAAAAAAGTTGGTGGAAACTAACTTAACTAAAGGCAAGGAATTCGTACAGCCAAATCAGTATAAAGCGGATATGCATTTGCAAAAGGATGATATCAATAGCAAATTTGACAGTTTGAAAAAGTCTGAACAGAAAACGAGTCAACAAAATATTGAGAAAGTCTACGCAACACATACAAATGATAGTACCACCAAACAGGAGTTTCCCAATACAGTGAGGAGTGCCCAAAAAGTGCTGGCATCGAAAGCGCCACAGCAAGTCGACGACGCTTTAGCTTTAAAAAAGCACGAGAGCAGCCATCAGCAGCAGCAACAACAACAACTACTACTAACTCAACATCATGAGCAGGAAAAGGAGAAGAAGGATTCTATGTATCCTTTAAAGCATGGCCTTGATAAGAATAACCCACCACAGAACACACTCTTAAATCAGGTATGCTTTTTTTGTTAATTCTATGACACAAAGGAATAAACGCAAGTTTGAACACGTTTACTTTTTTTAGCAGCAAAAATGTCTACCACAATATAATAATAAGCCATTGGTGGATCCTGCACCATATCCTTACAAGCAAATAGGTAATTATCCATTTTGTGGTCTGCCACCACCCGATCTTTCGAAATATGCGAATCAAAGAGGTACGTAGAACAGCGAAATGCGAATAGTTTAAATTTCAAACCACAAATTTTTTTTTTTAATCACACAGGTGACATGATGACAACACCGACTGAGTCTTTTCAGACCTGTAATTACAATAAACGAAAACTACAAAAAGAGTTGCCAATACCAACCGATTATACGCCTTCACCCACATCCTCATCATCATCAGCTTCAGCCGCATCAACAGCATCATCATCATCGTCCACATCACAGAATCAAAGCTTAAAACATAGTCATTTAAATGCAGCTGCTGCTGCTACGGCCCATCAATCACCATACTCGCAATCGCCCTATTCATCATTATTCCATCAGCAGCAGCAACCAAAACTACACCTGTACGGATCAAATTATAATTTAGACAATGAACATTATAGTAATTTAGCCCAAACTTCACATAGTTCACAAAATTTGAATCAAAATCATAGTCTTATTGGTGACACATTTGGTGCCGTACAAGAGAATAGCACAAGCCTTATGCATACCGGTGGCAGTCAAAATGTGTCAGCGCCGTGTGATTATTCCACACATTTTCCCGACTATGCCGCCTATAGTTCGTACAACCATCCGCATTATTTTCCACATTTTGCCAATTCATATGGCAATGGTTCATCAGCACCGATTGGCACCAATCCCTATCACCAAATGCATTGGTCACCCTTAATAGCGCCAACTTCAATAAATGAGCAATGTAATCCTGTACACTCGTCCGTTTATCCTCAAAATGGTGCGCAACATAATCAATGGCATCACAAATTATAAATATTGTAGTTATTTAAGTAAAAAATATCACCATTCAGCCACAAAAAGGTTTTAAATTAATTAATTTAATTGCATGGTATTATCGTAAATTTGAAATATAGAATATAAAATAAAAAAAATTATTAATTAAATAATGTACTCGAGCGTATTACTTTTGTTTTTAGCGTGGAAATGAAGACGGTATTATAAATCAGTTTCGAATTTTAAAACGAAAATTGACTTTCTAAGCCATCTTCTGAACATTGAAAAATGGTGTACTGTTATTTGCCATCTGTTATACATCCCATTGTACATTGTTGTTATTTTGAAGAGTTGCCAGATTTTGGAAAACTTGTTTGCGTGTTTCTCCAAAAACTTAAAATGCAGTAGTTAATAAAGCCTCGTTTTATAATCCCTTATACAATTTTTGAAAAAAAAAAATTACCAAGTGTTTTAACTTTACTTAAGGTAGTTTTGTTTAAATTTTTAATTTTGCTCTGTTTTGATAGTAACAAAAAAAATTATTTATATACATTAACCCTAAGTGCGTCGCAATAAAATGCAACGAAATTCAACAATGAATGCAACTCTGCATTTGACATGCGCTCACCACGAATACCATTGTTACATATGTACACGTTCTAAACTTGATACATTTCGAAGTTAGTATCCTATTCTGATTGGATGTATTGTATTGATACACATTAGCTGTTTAGAAAACATATATATAATTTTTTTTTGTCAATTCAGTGTGCTGTATAATTTGAAATTAATTTTCAACAAATATTTGTGATTTACAATAGTCTGTGAAATTTTCTAATAATATGAAATATATATGAAGTGAAAAGAAAATAAATAATTGGCAAACATGTAAAGAAATGCAACGTCTTCTTTCATTTGTTGGGAGATCATCGTCGTCGGTACCTTTTCGATAGGTACGTTGTTGTGTTCGTATTCGTAATTTTTAAATCGGGACTGAGAAGAAAGTGAAAAGGAATTTATTAGCAAGTGAATTTATACATAGTACACCTGAACGAAGGAAAGAACACCAAACACGCACAAACATGGCAGATTTGGAAGCTGTGCTGGCGGATGTCAGCTATCTGATGGCCATGGAGAAATCCAAATGCACACCAGCAGCAAGAGCTAGCAAAAGGCTTGTTTTGCCTGACCCCAGGTAAGTGTGTGTGTATACATAGGTATTCATTTGCGATATATGAATGAATGTATATTAGTGCAGGTAGTATTCCCCCAAAATACGCCCAATTCAGCATGCAAAGCACACAGGCAGCCACATTAAAATTTCTTTTATTTATTTTATTTTCTTTCCACAACATTGACTACACAACAAAATACGCAAACGTTTGTACATATGTACATATGTACGAAAGCGATTTTGCTGACTAACTAATCGAATATTTCAATTGTATACACTTTATTTCATTTCATTATACATGTGAGTATATGTTATTTGTGCTCATTTTGTATCGCTATTTAGCAATTAAAGTACCCACTATCTCTGTTTTGTATGGCATATGTATCCCGTACGCGATTTACATTTATTTTTGCACAATTATACATACAGCTGTGTAGGCTATACCATTGTCCAGTAGTTGATAATCGAAAACTTCAGAAGTTCATGAATTGAAAAAATGCATGCAAAAATATATATGTATGTATATATAGAAATATATACAAATACCCACATACCTACTATGTACAACAATGCAAAAAATGCAAAAACAAACATATTTTTGTAAATATGTTTATATACAAAAACATAACATCACAGAAGTGTAAGTGTCCATATATTCGTGTGTCGTAGGTGGTCTCAATTTATGCTAGTATCAAGTTCATATAAGCAGTGTTGTTGCATTTAGCTGCTACATTCATAACAAAATATTTTCACTTCGCCACTGATACTACATATTACATATTACTGTTGTATTTATGTATGTATGTGTGTAACTGAGATTTACAAAGGATAAATAACAAATATATATATACATATATGTATATGTAGCCATTATCACAATGGACCTGGAAGCGCATTTCAGTTTAAGAAAATAACAGCTTCGTGAGAGTTTACATCACATCCTCATGGTTATGAAAAAAAAACAAGATGATTTTACATTTTTGTAGCACAATCATATCCTTCGGATATGTTTAGTCCACCCTCTGTGGTACACGTTCTAAATAATATGAATATATGATTTGTGAATTACGATCAAAGGGCTTAATGCGCGTATATGTATGTATGTACTATATGTTTTAGGATATACTCTAATAAATAAATATCGGAACTGCCGGGATCCGCATAGGATTCGATAAATTTTCTCACATACTGAAGAATTTATGTATATGGATTACATAATTAGATGCACTTATGTGGCTTATCACATACTTACATATACATATATAATATAATTGGTTTGCGAAATAACCAATTATATACTGAATGGGTATATTAAGTTTGCCAAGAAGTTTGTAACACGCAGAAACAAACGTCGAAGACCCTATGAAATATATATTGTATTTAGCCACGGCCGTTTGTCTGCATATACGCGAACTAGTTCCTCAGTTTTGAAGATATCGATCTGAAATTTTGCACACGTCCTTTTTTCTCTAAGCAGCATTCTCCGAATTGTTCCGATCGGACCACTATTGCATATATGAGGTTGCCATCCAAACTGAATGCTCAAAATAGAATTCTTGTATGGATACTTTTGTATTTGTGCAGCATATTCTCTTTGCGGTGAAACCGAAGTTAACGTTTTCTTCTTGTTTTGCACGCGTTTGTGAATAGTTGTACTTTATTGTTTTGTTTGTAATACTTTAGCCATCTATCCACTATCACAAAAATGTATGTATGTATGTTTGTAAGATAAGGAATTCTTAAAGTGTTTAAAGTTATATACATTACAATAGATTGGAGTTCTGGTGACGCTTTCATTTCCACATACAATATTTATATAAACCATTTTAGGAATCTATGCATGTATTTAAAAAAAAAAAAATTGATGTTTATTATATTTAGTTACATATGTATGTATATGCTTATAGAGATTTTAATAAATTTATCAAAAACTGTTGTGCTTCTATATTTATTTCTTATTCTCTTTATTTTAGTCCAATTACTTTTGTTCATTTTTATATCGATTTCATTATATAATATATTAATCTCTATTCGTTGTGCGTGTATGATTGATAATGATGCTATGCTAAAACAGTGCGTGAATTTTAAGGTGGTTTGTTACTATACAAATAAGTTTTAGCGCAAATGATTTGTTTTATTTTTTATTAATCGTCATAATAATTACTTTAAACAGCGTCCGCAGCGTGATGTATAAGTATTTGGAAAAGGAGAGCGAATTGAACTTCCATAAAATATTCAATCAAATACTAGGTAAGCATTGCAATTAATATTTATATGTTGAAAATATTTAGATTAATATGTATTTTTGCCCTCTAGGATACTTGCTCTTCAAAGACTTTTGCGAAAATGACTCCGAGGAACCAATACAGCAGCTAAAGTTTTATGAACAGGTTGGTTAAAAAAAATAAATATTTCACTATTTATTCATTAGTTATTAGTATTTTTGTTTAAAAATTAAAAACAAGAAAACACTTTAACTCCGGCTGTATCGAAGCTATAATACGCTTCACAGGTGCATTTTTTATAGCATAAAAGGGTATAAAAGTGTCATTTTCTTGATTGTAATCGGTGAGTTTGTATGACAACTATATGCTATAGTCTAGTCTCAACATTTTTTTCGGCGTTTATAGCCATGCTTTAGACAATAATCCATGCCAAATTTCGTGAAGATATCTTTAAAAAAAAGTTTTCCATATAAGTACTTGAATTTGAGCGCTCAGTTTCGACAAATGAGCAGCTTCTTTGGAAAAAAAGGACGTACGTAAATTTTCAGAAAGTTATCGCAAAAACTGCGGGACAAGCATATATACAGAGAGACGCGCATAGCCAAATCGACTAAGCTCGATGCACTGATCATTTATACATATATTATATAGGGTCTCCGATATTTTCTTCTAGGTGTTACAAACTTTGTGACAAACTTAATATACCTTGTGGGCATAAAAATAAATAATAAAATTTAAATTTAAATAACTATTAAATTTCCAGTTGGAAAACATCTTACAATATCATTTTCCACTACTATTTTTTTACAGATAAAGAATTTTGAGAAAACGGAAAGCTACGAAGAACGTAAAGAATTAGCACGAGAAATATATGACAATTTTATCATGGAAGAAATGCTCTCTCACACATACGTAAGTACAATTTAAACTGTTTTAATTTGAACTCAAATACTGTTTTTTTTTATATAAATTCAAAGGAATATTCCAAAGAAGCTGTAGCCAGTGTACAGAAATATCTTTTAAAAAATGAAGTACCCGTTAATTTATTTGAGGTAATGATTTATACTGCACATATTCGCTTAAAACATTGCATGAATTTATTGAAATTACATTTGCAGCCTTATATCGAGGAGATTTTTAACCACCTAAAAGGAAAGCCGTTCAAAAAGTTTTTGGAGAGGTAAGTCAATATTTGTTGTAGCAAAATATATAATATCCAATAACTAAATGTTTTTCTTGTAGCGACAAATTCACACGTTTCTGCCAGTGGAAGAACTTGGAGCTTAATATACAGGTACATCCTTACTTTTTTATTTGCATTTCGCACATAATAATTATATTATAAATTTTTACGTGCAGTTGACCATGAACGACTTCAGTGTACACCGTATTATCGGACGCGGTGGCTTTGGCGAAGTGTACGGCTGTCGAAAAGCCGACACTGGCAAAATGTATGCCATGAAATGTTTGGACAAGAAACGCATCAAAATGAAACAAGGCGAAATGCTGGCGTTAAACGAACGAACTATGCTGCAAGCAGTGAGCACAGGGGTAGGTGGTGAATAATAATACACATTTATATGCTTTATTTTTAATTTTATTTTTTTTTAATTTATTGTTTGTTTTTCAGATGGATTGTCCCTTCATTGTTTGCATGACCTATGCATTTCATACACCCGACAAGCTGTGCTTCATACTTGATTTAATGAATGGCGGCGATTTGCATTACCATCTTTCACAACACGGTGTGTTCAATGAGGATGAGATGAAGTTTTATGCAGCTGAGGTACTGTGCTGAATTTATTTATATATATATTGTATATTTTTTTTTTGATCATCATATTCTTACCAACTCTCATTATAGGTAATTTTGGGCTTGGAACACATGCACAAACGCTTTATTGTCTACAGAGACTTGAAACCTGCAAACATTTTACTCGATGAAAATGGGCATATTCGCATATCGGATTTGGGTTTGGCATGTGATTTTTCGCGCAAAAAACCACACGCCTCAGTAGGCACACATGGTTATATGGCGCCAGAAGTGCTTTCGAAAGGCACCGCCTATGACTCATGTGCCGATTGGTTCAGTTTCGGCTGTATGCTGTACAAATTGCTTAAGGGTCATTCACCGTTTAGACAGCACAAAACAAAAGATAAACACGAAATCGATCGAATGACCTTGACTATGGTGAGTTTGTTGTAGTAGACATACATGTATGCTTTAATTATGCTTTAGTTAGTGCAATGCAGTTGATAAAACTAAAAATTTTTGATACAATTTTTTTTTTGTAGAACGTTGAATTACCCGACTGCTTTACGCCCGAACTAAGAAGTCTTTTAGATTCCTTGCTACAGCGGGAGGTTGATAAACGACTGGGGTGCATGGGTAATGGGTAAGTGATATGTGACACATAAATATTATATATAAATTTTCTAACATCAATGATTATATCTATTTTATATACCACGAAACAAATAAAAACAAATTTAGTGCGGATGAAGTGAAGATGCATCCATTCTTCTCAGGTATCGATTGGCACCAAGTCTATGTTCAAAAATATACACCACCATTAATACCACCGAGAGGCGAGGTTAATGCCGCCGATGCTTTTGACATTGGCTCCTTCGACGAAGAGGATACGAAAGGCATTAAGCTAACGGATAGTGATCAAGAACTATACAAATTCTTTCCACTTACAATTTCCGAAAGGTAAATAACTAGCAAATACATATAATACATGATAAAATATATAAAACTGAAGCATATAATAACTTGTGTTGTCTGCAGGTGGCAACAAGAAATCGCCGAAACAGTATTCGAAAGTGTTAATATTGAAACAGATAAAATCGAGCAAAAGAAAAAAGCCAAACAAAAGCAACATTTCGATGCCGACGAAAAAGATTCGGACTGCATTTTACACGGTTACATAAAGAAGTTAGGCGGCTCTTTCGCTTCGCTCTGGCAAACCAAATACGCTAAACTTTATCCAAATCGGTAAGCGCCTATAAATTTGCTAATATTTGACACGCTCTTACTTATATACTTAAATATAAAATTTTATAGATTGGAGATGCACTCGGAGAGTGGTAGCAATAAGCCAGAGTTGATCTTTATGGATCAGATCGAGGATATTTCCTCCGATTTCATACATTACAAAGGAGAACAATGCATACAAATACGCGTTAACGATGGATCTCGTGATGGACGAATAATTCTAACAAATTCAGTTAGTATACGCACACACACACATACAATCTGTTTTTGAAACAAATAATTTCTAATAACTTGATTTACAGGATGAAATCGGCTTAAAAGAATGGGCTTTCTCCTTGCGCTCGGCTCATAAAAAATCACAAGAGCTTTTAGGTTCGATGGCACGGAAAGCGGGCAAAATCTATGGCAGCGAACGTGATGGCAATAAATCTTTGTACATATTAACGGGTAGCAATCCAATTTCCAAAGTCTCAAATGGATCCAACTAGCAAATATGCAAAGGACATACAGGACACTTGCAGATGATGACGTTGATGATGGGGGAGTATAAGCAGCAATCGAAGCAACAAAAGAAAAAGCACCAGCAACAGCGCCAACTCCAACTCCAACTCCAATTCGTATTTCAGTTTATTAAACAAACGCTTTTTTTATTATAATGTGTAACATTTTGTAGACTATTTTTTCATGATGATTGGTTTGATATACTTTTAACTACTGTTACTCGAGTGTAAAATAAACCAGAAAGTACTAAGATCTAACAAACACACATACATACATACGTATATGCTATATTAGAGAATATAACAAACAAAAAAAAACGCAAATTATTATTGCACAAGTGGAGCAGGCAAAATGCATGGATAAATCGACTGAAAAGTGTGAAGCGCATAAATGGCAACCATAAAACCTTAGCGTTCTAGTAATTCCCAACATTTGAATTGCCAATGCTTACGTATACACGTAAATCCATACATACATACATACAAACAAACGAGTACATTAGAAATGGGTATATCAAAGTGTTAATTAATTATGCGCTCATTTTGTGACGCAATATTATGTATGTGTATAGGCTCAACGTTGGTGTTTAACAGAAAAAAATGAAGCGTACGAATTTGCATTTGCCTAAAAATAAAAAGCAGCAAAATAAAAAGTAATCAAATATTAGAACAATCAATGGTAATTTGACCGCTGGTCGAGTAGTTATAGTAGAACCACCATTTAAGCGGATTTAAATAGCCGCAACACATAAATACATGCATACATACATACATACATACAAACATACATGCATAGAAACATATATGTACACTGGGCTCTTAGCAGCCGGTTGATGTGCAATTGCAATGTTATTCGAAATCACGCCTATCATAGAAGTATAGTAGTTGATACATACATATGTAAACTTATCATAATTTTGCTGTAAATCGTACATTTGTGTTTTAAGTTGTTGTTATTTTTATTGTATTTGTGTAATTATTTGTTAACTAAATGAAATTCTGCAAAGAATATAAGTAAACTGGTTTTTGTTATTTAACAATTGCAAATTACAAAGACAAATCGTGAGAAAAACTACACCGTAATTGCTTGTATCGCGAAGCTGCTTAATTATTATATTTTCTGCGCATATAACTTTTCGTTTTGCTTACATACATTTGTACATATGTATGTATATTCGCCTTAACCTATAAACGATTTAAACGATACGATGCATTTGGACTTGAGGATTAGACAATTTTCTGTGAGAAATTATATTATATAGTAATCCGAACAGAACAATATATTGTATTCGGAAATTGTAGCGTTGTCTTGAAGTGCGTGAATATAATTTCTCAAATAAAAAAGTTTTCCCTGCAAGCACTTAATTTTGAACGATCAGTTTGTATGGCAGCTATATGCTATAGAATCGCAAAATTTGCAGAGATTGTAGCCTTGCTTTAGAAAATAATCTATGACAAATTTCGTAAAGATATCTTGTCAAATGAAAAGTCTTTAATATAAGAACATGTTACAAACTTCGTGGCTTAATATACCCTATTTAGGGCATAAAAATATTATATTATGAATTTTGTAACCCTGCTAAAATATTTGTGGAGCACCGAGCTTTCAGTTGAAAAAAAAAATTGCTTTTGAGTTCAAGCTCGCGTTTGCAGGGATGATTTAATAACGGACGGATAATTATTTTCAATGCAGCATACAAGGTTACTTTATCTTTTTTTCCAAGAAGTTTGGGGGAGTTACGAGTTTAATCGCTTAAATCAGAAAGTTAGAAGAGAAGTGTTGGAGAGGCAGATTCGTTTTTTTTTTCTTTCAATTACAAATAGCAAATGAGGCTTTAGCAAGACGTTGAGTGTAATTTAGTACCTCTGGTGGCGATATTATGAAAAGAAGAAAGAAATCTTTGCTATTTTAGAGCTGTGTGGTTAAGACTTCCAATTCACTTAAAATTTCGTATAGGAATACGCTTTAACCAATATTGACGCGATTGAAAAACTTATTATAATTTTGTTTAAATTTTTATTATGAAACGAAATGAATGAAACTACGCAAAAAATTTAATACAATAACATTGAATCTCATATGTTCTATGTTCGATTTGTTTGTGAAGTAATAAATGGACGAGTATTTTATAGGATTTTTATATAGGACCAAATGAAAACAAAAGAATGATGCTAACACTAGTATATACATACATACAAAAGAACCAGAGAGCGCTACCGAGCTCCCGAACTTTGTATAACTAAACTTATCCGAGATAATATTGTGGATATGGTGGTGGAAAGTAGCCGGGGAATGCCGGTGGCGTTGGCTGAACGGGTATGGATGTGGTAATGTAGCTGGTCGCACGTGTCGGCACAACTTCACTGGAGTAAATCGTCGTGTACGCCGTACGTGCGCCAAAGGTTAATTTTAAGACTTTACTATTCGTGTGCGTGGCGATCGTCTCGTGTACAATACTGGAGGTTATCGTTTGGAATTGCTGTAAAGGCAGCAGGAATGGATTTATGGACGGCGTAATGGGGGGGAATGGTAGTGTGCTCTCCGGCGTGAATTGCGGTATGCTGGGTATTAGTATTGAGGAGAATTGTTGTGAATTACTTTGCAATTTCCACAACGCTAATCTTTGTAATTCCTCAGCCGTAAGATTCGATGACTTGCCGAAGAGATCAGCTATATCGGATAATTTGGGACGGTATGATTTGTCATCCTTTGTATTTTCGGCATTATCTTCATCACCGAATTCCAATTCTAGATTTATTTCGGAGCCCGCCTCATCCAGATTAGCACCAAAGTCGGTAAAGCTCCTTAGCGGCAGATCAGTTTCTAGCGGTGACAGTGTTTTCGTCACCGTTATAAGGCTTGTGATGTCGTAAGTTTGTGTGAGTGTGACATATGTTGTCTCATTATTGACATCAAAGACAATTGGTAAAACTTGTGTGCGCAATTTCGTTGTTGTTGTGCTAAATGAATCCACCACTGTTTCCAAATTCGGCGTCTCGGCATTTTCGGTAATGTGTAGCGGTTTCAATGTTGTGACATGGGTATCACGCAGATAGTTGACTTCCCGTGATGATGGTGCCAAAATGTTTTCGGTTAGTGGACCATCTGGTATTTGTACTTCCGTTGGGTCAGGCGTCAGCGTTTTTTCTATCGTTGAAGTGACTGTTATGAAACGAGTCTTCTTCAAACCACCGACCTAAGAAAAAATATTTATAATTAAATTTTTACTTTGTTATTTATGTTAGCAAAATCTATAAGCTATTCGCTGCCTAATTTAGCGAAGTTATAAGCATTTAAGTAAACGGTCGATCAATTTCTCTGACAATTTGTTTTCAGCTTTGGGTTACTTAAAGACTGCTTATTGTTGCACTCACCTGAAAAGCGTACGGCGTTTTAATGGTCGCCAACTCATAGTAAGTATCCTTGAAATTTGCCGGTGTTGATATCTCCACATTCAAGGTCTCCACTAAATGTTGATAATTTCCACCTTGATCTATATTATTGACAACAGCACCGTTTTGTGAGCCCGATGATTCCAGATCACCATTATCGGATATTACATTTAAGCTAGGGTTGCCAGCAAAAGCGTCTACAGATTTAGTGGTGTTACCCTCCGGATTCTTACGTATGGCTACTCTGGGTTTCGGGGTTGTTGTATACTGCCATCTGCCAGGAGTACGATTCAACTTGAACGTAAAGACGCTAGTGGAAGCCTGCGATTCCACATTTGAAGGTCGTACTTTGGAACGGAATGTTTTGGGTGCCGGCTCTGCAGAGGAAGCCAATACGACCGCACTACTTTTATGCGCATTAGCTGATGACCTATTATTTTTACTTTTCCTGCAATTAAACGAAATTTGAAAATCTTGTTTCTGCTTATACGAGTATTTTGTATGTTACCTACCTTTTGGGCTTACTACGTGACGAACTCTTTTTATGACTTTGGGTAACTTGTGACGATTCAACCACAGATTCGGTGATTGTTACATGCTCTTGTCCGTGATTATTGGCTCTATTGCCTTTACCATTGTGACGATGTGAACCGGAGATGCGATTATTTTTCTGCTCTTGTGGCGCTGGTTTGGATAAAGAAGATGTCGTAGTCTTCAAAACACGTAACGGTGTAGTTGATCTTATCTTCGGTTTCTTGCCTTTAGGTCCACTCGGTGCATGCGGTTTGTTTTCCACCGCTTGACTTGGTTTTAATCGATTTGCGGTCGTTGCTTCGTGTATAATAGTTGCTTCCGAAGACACATCGTAAGTTCGACGTTGATTGAGTCTGTTTCGTGGTTTATCCGTAGCCTTATTGTTTATGACACGATAGGTTTCTTCGGCATATTCGGCTGGTTGGCGTGAGAGCAAATCATATTCAAAAACATTGTTCTCTATTTGTAGTGCGGGCTGCTCTTCGACAGGCTCAGGCGATGTTTGTGCCGTGACCACCACCGAGCTACTCGTTACAATTTTCACATTACTATTGTTGTTATTTTTGTTCTTTTGAGCCTCAACAATAGTCGATTTTAAGTTTTTCTCCACGGGTTTATTGGTCGGTATTTTATCAGAATTCGTTGGCTTGGTAGGTTTAATAGTTTCGTCCTCTGTAGGTTTTAAAGCAAGCGGTTTTGTTTCAATTATATTGGCTGGCAATTCAACTTTACCTGTAAGACAAGTTTTGTTAAATAATAGTGAGGCTAATTGAATTAACTTAGTCTATAACTATTATAGAGTTTTAAACTTTAGTACTTTTTTCAAATCACATTTAAGACCAGCAATCTACTATCTGATCAAATTTGGCTCGGACTGGCCCACTTAATTTCGCGTTTACAATAGAATCACATTTACGGAATTGTGGAAAATGTTGTAGAAATGTTTTGAGGAGTCTACTTTATCAAAAACATAAATATTTAAGTAACACAAAGTATTTAGTGAAGGTTGTGAGTCAGCTAAATTTGCCTCTTGTGAGTCGTCCGTCGCTATTAATGATGATAACATGAAATAGTGCTTGATTATCGTTGTGTTAGCATTAGAGAGATAGCAGAGGATCTCAACATCTCTTACGAATCGACTTAAAACGTTTCAGTTAATGTTTTGGGTATGAAGCGTGTCAATGATAGACTCATACCAAAAGACCTAAATCTTTTGCAAAAACGACGTCGAGTAAAGGTCGCAGAAGAGACAACATATCTGAGGATTGTACATTCATCAAACGCATCATTACTGGTGATGAGACGTAAATTGATGAATATGACGTCGAAAATGTCCAATAATCTAGCGAATGTCAAGCTTAAATTGATTCTGGAGCCTATTTTGAAGACGATATTAAATATTTGTATTAAAATACATAAAAATGAAATTTTATTTTGTCAGTCCGGGTGAAATATGATGGTATATGTATATTTAGAGCAGATTATTTTCAAAAGACCTTTTCCACAATAAAACGAAGTTTAGAAGTGCATTAACATTAAACTTGTTTTCTATATTCATTTTATATTATTTATGCCATACATACCGATTGGTGGAGCACTTTGTGGTGAAAATACCATTACTGTATTGCCTATCGTTGTTGTAAAATCCAGAAATCCATAAACAGTTTGCGTAATGTATGGGTCCGTACCACCATCCGATAGGATAGGATTAACTGTAAAATTTAAATAGAGTTTTTTTGTAGAAATACAAACTAAATAATAAAATTCATTTAATATACCTAAAACAAGTTCTAGTTTAGAAAAGAAAACAGCAGAAAAATTATTGCTATTCAAATGATTATTTTCTTAATTATAAATAATAACTAATTTCTATCTAAACTTACCATTCAAAATAAATGCAATGAATAAAAATCGATAGTCCATGTTTGCACTTATTTAAAGACACCTTTTTATAGATAAGAGAAGGAATTACCTGAAATAACAAAAACATTAAAGATCACATTTTTGATTTGTATATATTTATATAAAAAAGTCCTCAAAGCTAAGACTATTCCATATCAAACTTTTGAATTCTTTTAGCTTTCCAAACTTATTCAGCTCAAAAGAATGATAGCTGAATAAAGCACTGAAAGCGGAAAGTCTTCTAAGACTTTTTTTTTTAATTAAAATTATTTTAGGTTAAAATACCTATTGCTGATCCGAGATCTAAACTCGTTCGGTCCGAACTAATGACATAAAAGACATCAGACGAAACTTTAAATGCGTTTTTGCCAACGTCTTTTTCAAAACGATACCCACGATTTCTCTGGTTCTACTAGACTGATTTACCTGACATTTTTGGAGTGTCTTCTTTAAAGACTTGTCTATGTCTGGAACTATTCATATCTCCAAACTTAAATGTTAACTATTTTTAAAAAATTCGAAACAGTAAAAAAGAGTGATACAAAAATTGTGTTTTTTTTTTGCTTTAGTGCAATACGACACCCGTACACACTTTAAATGGTATTTCTCGTTTTTCTGTCGTATTACAATTCGTACTCTAATATTTTTCGACTTAGCCGATTGGATTTTATGTAAATGTAAAGGACAGGGTTATTAAGCTTGTTACGAAGTTTGTAACACTCAGAAGGAGACGTCGGAGACACTATAAAATATATATATGTAAATGATCCGCGTGACGTGCCGAGTGGATTTAGCCATGTATGTTTTTCTGTATATACACTGTCTCAGATATTGCTTTGAAATTTTGCACACCTTCTTTTCTCCTCAAGAAACTGTTCATTTTTCGGTACCGCCGATATTGGTCCACAGGATGCAACTGTCATACAAACTGAACGATCAAAATGAAGTCTTTGTATGGAAAACTTATTATTTTACTTATTATCCAAGGCAATGCTACAGTCTTCAAACAAATTGTTCAGAGCGGACCACAATAACATATTGCTGCCATAGAAACTGACCGATCGAAATCAAGACAAAGATCTAAGATTACGCTATAAGAAATGCACCGTTGATGTGTATTACAGCTTCGGCCATATTTCAAGAAATATGTGAAAAGCTGTAATCCACGTTCCAACTGCTGTTGGCTGTTTATGAGAAACCTTCTGTGTCAGAAAAGCTTCCCAAATTCGGGCCCAAAGTAACTTATATGAAAAGTTCCTCCTGGATTGAGTTGCTGTTATTTTTTAAACCTTAATGTAATCGGAGAGGAAACTGTTGTGTAATTTATTGAATACAAGTATGTTAGATTTGTCGATCCTCGTAAAAGATGTAATAGGCTTTCATTGTCAGCACTGAATGAAAAAATTATTTCTTACAGTTATGAAGTGTCAGATGATGGAGAGAAAGTGATTTCCTTTTTTTGTAAACAAATACATACATATGTATTTATGCATATATTACATACATATATATAAAACACATACATTTGAAATCATATAAACTATGTATAAGGAAACTTCGATCTATGTGCATGTTGCTATTGTAGAAACATGTTTTATCCCATTTTCTTTGCTTTCAAAATACATACATATGTACATATGTATTTCGATACAAATGTATCGATTTTTTTTTATACGCACTCCTTACTTGGTCATTGAGTAAATGAAAAAATAGTTTTACTAGTTTTCAAGTTTGCTTTTTTACTGTTTTTTTATGAACCATAATCGGTTTAATAAATCGCCGCGAACATTGAACTCGTCTTATCCTTCGCATACGCGCACAAAATAAATAGCAAACTTGATGAAAGCACCAAAAAATCGGAAAAACATGCTATATCAGTTTCAAAAGTGGCGTGGTGTTGCATTCTTAAATAAATAGTTAAATATTTAAGTTTGAAGTAGTGGGTATATATTTTTAAAATCAAGAAGGTATTTGCAAAAAAAAAACGTATATTTTTTATATACATATATTGTATATGTATATATAAAAAATATTAAAGAATTATTTTTTTTATTTTTTTCTATTGTATTATTATTTCTATTATTTTTTATTTAATTTTTTTTAATTTTATTTAATTTAATTTTATTTTATTATTTTGTATTTTTTATTTATTTTTTAGTTTGTCAGATTTTACCACGTTTTGTTGTATGCTTTGAAGAACAGTATACTTTACTTATACTTTACTTTACTTATACTTTTACAAACTTGTACCTATGTACATACATACATACATTTAAATGTTCGTCTGTCTGTCAGCCTATAATTTATTTCGTTCGTGATAACTTCACAACACTTCGCGCATTTGTTTCAAAAAAAGAACAAACCAGTTAGTTAGTTTGTAAAAACTTCGAGGCTTCGAGACGCCGTTTCAATTGCTAAGAGTCATTGAGTAAAACTCTCACGCATGCGCATAATAAAAATGCTGTAATTATTTGCCGAGCAAAAGTTTATTACCGTCGGTAACGCGATTGTGCACTTGTGCTTGCTGTAGCATACATACAAACATAAATATATACAAACAGCTGTAAATATGCGGGTGTGCTTGTGCTACGAAAGATTTGGTAATATTTAGACAAAAGAAATGACCAAAACGAGCTGCGAGCTTCCGTTGGTGCGCAACCCAAAAAGAACTGTGCCGCCGCTGCTGTTTTGTGAGGAGTGATGCTCGTAAATATATATTATATATGTATGTATACGTTTGTGCATATGCAAATGCGCTCATACATATACATATGTATGCTAATCTATAGCTATTTGCATTTACATATGTTTATGGTTTGGCTTATAACAGTTTGGCGAATTACAAAAACCATAACAATAAAAATCAATAACAACAAACACACATACGCTACAGAGATTTGAGCAAAAAAAACAACAACAAAAATCTGAAACAAAAGCAAGAGCATTAAGAAAGTAAAAGCGATCATGGTTAACAACATTTAAACAAACAAACATGCAGACAAACATATCATTAGTTGTTATTTATAACTATATATGCGTATGCAATAGTGTAGCAGTTTTGATGCAGGCATTTAAGCCGTCACACTAACAACAACAAAATGCCACACATAACAACAGCAATCGCCCAGCTCGCTTGCTGCTCCATTAACAGCTTAGCTGCGCATTCACTTATACTACACATATATATATGTGTGTGTGTGCGCGCATTTGTTGGTTATGCAGGAATATGCTGCTGCTTAAGAGCGTTAATAGTGGAGCATTCACTTTTGTTAGCTGGAAAAGCGGTAGCAATAACGGCAGCTAACAAAATTGGCACAAAATAAACAAGCACAAGTTTTTCCACGCACACACATACACACAGGGGTAAATACATACTTCTATGCGTACAAAAAACATATATATATACACAATTTACAAATATGTATACAATAGCCAGCACAATGCGCAGCGAAAACTTCACAGGCTTTCGCGCTTGCGCGTTAGGACAGTTAGCCGCACAGCTTTCGGGCGCTCCACAGCGACAGTCCAGCACAGCACGGGCTTGCAGTCATATTGTGCCACTTTTTAACATTTCATTTATTTGTTATTCTTGTTTTTGTTGCTTTTTGTTAATTTTTGCGGACATTTTCAGTATGCAGCGCACAAAAATTGAGTACTTTGATTGATCAGCCAGACTGTTTTGCAGATTTGAACGCTTAAAATGTTGCATATATGTATGCATGTAATTATATGTAGAAATGAGTTGGTTTATGTACGTGTCGATTTTTTTAAATAACACCATAAAATCCGCTGCACAGAAAAACTAGATTATACAGATATTACAAGGTTAAATACATGAAACGCGTTTGAAATTAAAATGCACTGACGTCGACATTTGTTTAGTTAGTTACACACATCCACACATACACACATAATGCACATGTACACGAACGCTAATTAAATATATTATATACATAAATATGTACATATGTATGTATGAGCAATAAATAAAAAGGCGTTTGAGCGACGACATTTCTGAAGGCACATAAACACACCGTGTGCTATTAGAACGCAATACTTAAGCGTTGAACAACAACTTTCATAAATTTAATTATTTAATGCACATTTTTGTTATATATTTTATTATTAAATACACATTTTATATTATATTTTTTTCAAAATTGCTTTGATTTTTCCAAGCAAATTTCATTTACGTAAAATTTCGCTTACCTAACACACACACGAAATTTTACAAAAGTAATGTAATTAGAATTTTTTAGAACTGAAAGTGTAGGAAAAAATACTGTTTTGTCAATTAATTAAATGTAGATAGCAGATACTAGGCACTCGTGCTCAAGGTGAGCAATTGCAGAAACCATTTCAAGCACAAGAAGTCAAATACGAACTGAAAGCTCAAATACGAATATGCAGCAGTTATTACGAAAAACAACAATAGCCGCTATACTGGCTCGAAGCTAGTAAGCGATCGTACAAACATACAGCATACCGCCTTACAAATACGCATACATATATATTTATACATATACATATACACTTACACAATCATACAGCACTTCGCTGCCTAACATAACTTTCCTGCAGACAGCATTTACATATATACATACATATGCATGATTGTTGTATACATAACATTATATCTATGTATAAATATGCATGCGCATACATACTATACACACATACAAACAATTACACGTACAATAATGCGCTAAGCCACCTAGCTGCCGATATTTTACACAACCAACAAGAGAGCGCCAATCGGCCAACAAGTTACCACCGCCAACAACAACAGCAACTACAGCGCCTGAGGTGGCTCCAAGCAAGCAGCAGCTGAGTAACAAAAATTTGTTGTATAATGTTACGAACGAACCGAAAGAATGGGTCGTGCCATAATACGGCTCCTTTGTGGAGTTGTAAGTTGTTGCAAAGTTTCGAAAGCGCTCGCCAATTGTTGTGGAGTCGTTAGTAGGAAATTGTTATTGAAAAGAAAACTGTTTACAATGCCAGAATTTTGGAGAACGTAAATAGTATAACTGCACCTTAGGAGTTTATAGTAAAAAAGGCAAAAAGCGT